CTACGGCGTCTCTCATAATCATATGGTGGTTTTGGGACGTTAAACCCCACAAATCAATCAATCAATTAGAAATTTAAAATCATTTTATCGGCGTCATATGTTGGAACGAATTATTTTGTGCAATAACTACCAAGCGACGCTCCTAAGGGCACTACACATGCTTGTGCGTGCTTGGGAGCAAGTGACAGCGCTTACGATAGCAAATTGCTTTCGCCACTGCGGCTTCAGCAAGGATGCTCTGCAAGCTGACGAGCCACCAGTGCTCGAACACGGCATCACTCATCACTGCCCCCATCGCGGACATTTTGGAGGACGTCTGCTTTGCGGACTATGTCGATGTGGACTCAAGTGCAGTGGTGTGTGGTGCACTCACGGATGGCAACGTAATATGTCAGGTGAGAAATGCAGAACCTGTCGCTACCAGTGACGATGATGAGGAGGAGGATGAAGCACCAGTGCAGCCCTCTTCTGCGGAAGTCATGGTCGGATTGAATGCCGTCCGTCTTTTTCTGAAGTTTGAAGAAGGTGGAGAAGAGGCCTTCCGCTAAATTCGCTCATTAGAGCAATAAGTGCTCTCTGCTCCGTCCGCCTCGATAGATGTTTGCTTATGAGCCACTTTTTGCCTTGCGCTGTATTTTCGATCAGTTTCTCTTCTTTTTTTTTCTTTTCGCACAAGTTTTGTGCCCTTTATCTTTGTTGCTGTGGGTGATGGCGGCAACGAAGCCGAAGACGGTGCGCTAGTTCAGAGTGCGGAAACGCGTTATGCGGCTTTTACAAGAATCAAAGTTCCGCTTTTTTGCGGCAAGCACTAAGTGCATAAATACTTGTGGCGGCGAAACTGTGCTGTCAGTTGCCACCAGTCCAGAATCCGACAAACTGTGTGCACCTGGAGCCGCGAATGCATCGAGTGTGTCAGATTGCCGGATTTAGCACGTGCTTTGAATCGTTGCTGTCGAGCGTGACACTGAGTGTTGCTAAGACCGCCAGACCAAGCACTTCGTATGCATCAGGGCCAATAGCGTGCATGGGACGTCGACCCTTTATCTGCAGATGCATTTCCTATACTAAGAAATAAATCGATGCGAACGCGAGACGTTCACGCTGAACTCGAATCTACGCCAGGGAAGCAGAAAAAAATTTGAACTGATGCAGCCAGCTCTTGAAAGAGATGCCCTACGTCTGAAAAAAAATTCTAACAGCACTTAGAGAGGATGGAGGGAAGGCAAAAAAGAAAGAGTTTACAAGGACATTATAAGCTACTCTGCTGGAGCTTTTTGAGAAAAAACACATGTGGTGAACTTTCAAAGCCCGTTTTCTCAAAATGAACTTTTTAGCTAGTTATGGTGCTGGGGAAAGCGATTTCTCAAGAACTTCTTATGAGATTTGTGTGCCATTTCTTTTATTCTGCTCCTGGATAGTTCTTTTCAGTGTGTAAGAAGGTTCTTTTCTTGAAAATTGGCACCACTAATGATTAATAAACAATTAATTTTTGATAAATGTCATACCTACTGGCTACATCAAATTCAAAGTAGCATAATTTTTTTTTGGAGAGCAAATTGAAAAAAAAAAAACGGCTTTTTAGCGCTCTAGGATATATATACAGGGATGACGACAAATGATTTCAGCCTTCTGGTATGTCCTGGGATTTTTTCCGGCTCTTCCTCAGGCACATAACTGAACCACTTAGCTAGACCTCGGAACCTCTAGAACCGCTGAACACGATTTCATGAAACTTTGCAGTTTTTCTAGTTTTATTGTAGTAAACATACCCTGAAACTTTCACAAAGATATCTTAAAAAATAAAAAAGTTCGGTTTCCGAGTTTCGGTCAACCCCCCCCCCCCGACTTAAAGTGCTTCTAAAACAAGGTATACACAGGACGAGCGCTTAAACTGGCAAATGTCACTGGAAAAGACCTCTGTAGTCTTTATTGATGCTGCACGCAATGCCGTCCAAACTTGTACGTTCACACAGTCAGAGAGTCCCCAACAGCACTTGCCCCACTACCCCTTCTTCTATCTTTATGTTGGCACCCTACAGAATTTCCAACAGCCTCCTCCCCGACAAATTGACTTAGCTTTCCATAAAGTACTTGAGCAATCTGTATCGTCCTTCTAGAAATTTGACAACATCCTACACGCCCCCACAATGGCATGTGACGCCAAGGAACGCTAACCCACAGAGATTATAAAAGTCTGTACGAGTTCCAAGTCACTGCTTGTGGGATCATCTGGGCATCTCCTTGAGCTTGTTGAAGCTTGTTCTAGGCTCGTGCCTTTGAGCGTGTTGACCTTGCTGAGCTTGCACTGTCTCTGAGGAGTCCTCCTCGGGATAAAAATTCACAATGAAGGCTGTTACATGACAATCTTAGGAAGCCTTTCCTGGGGAACCTTTTCCTTAGCTATCTCGTCTTGGCTGCATTTACCTTGTGAGCGCTTGACTTCTTCCTCCACCCAAGCTTGGGTTGCATCATTTGCTTCTGTGATTCTGTCTTGGCATTGGGCATTGGCAGTGATGCAGCCTGCACGATTCGCTTTTTTCTCTTTCTTGATGTCTGCAGTTTTCCCGAAGAGCTACATTAATAAGCTTTAGAGGTAGTAGGCTTGTTGCTGTGGCTGCGATTTGATTCCTTCGGTACCATGTAAGCACGGAACTGAGGACTGCCTCACAATGAACATTGTCAACCTTGGTGAGTACTCATCCTTGGTATTTGGTGCAAGCTATCCTGAATTTCCAAAAGCATCTCAACATTCGATTGTAACAGTCTCTTCGCCCACATACACCCAAGTTTCCACTCTCTTGTTAACTTGATGGGTCTCAAACATTGATGAGGGCTCTGAAGCCATCGAATAGATCTCTAGAAGCTCAGATTGTTCTTCGTTAGTGGTCTTTCATGTTGTATTCTTTGTAGTGGAAACATCTGCTTTCAACACATTCTTCTATCTGTTGTAGGGTTGAGCCGTTAACCTTCTGTGGGAGAACATCACAATCGATGAAACATTGGCCAGATGGTTGTGCCACAGAGAGCACTTCCACTTAAGTTATTGTTCCAATCCTTTGCTTTATCCTCTCCAAGTGAGCTTGCCAAGCCTTTAGTGAATCTTCAATCCTATATTCAGCTTTATGACTTTTGCCAGAATAATTTTATAGCACACAGCTTCCTCGATTTCTGCTTCTAAGTGACCGCTTCAAGTGTGTATTCTACCTTTTTATCAATTCTCTCGAAATGGTTTCGAAATGGTCTGTCGAAACTGGTGAATATTCCGCAACTCACTTATTTGTGGGCATTCCAGATGCAGGAGACTTCCGATGCTGGCAATGACTTCCTAACGGTCTTTCCCATGGGACTATGCCTTTTTATTAGGGCCTCCATAATCCTTTGCAGTCTCGGGAAACGTAGGAAATCACTGGCCGACTACGCTACGAGGCGAAGAAAGCATTGCATGATGAAGCTCCGGGCATCCTCAACATGTCACGCTCCACAGCCTGGGTCACGGGCAGGGTTAGGCCTCGCACATGAGATTCGCGAAACGGTGACTTCAACAAAAGTCTTGCATGCTGCAGATGCGGTCGAGATGTCCACTAAGGGCCCTTTCTCCGTGGTTTCATGGCACCAAAATGATGTGGAGAAAAAGACGAGCCGCCATCTTCATGGCGAAGCCCTCCTTCGACCTCTTTATTTGAACATACTCAAAACTCAGTCCACTCGTCTTGCCACTATGCTTTCTTCATGTTTATGTCGGCACACCACACAATTTACTGTCACAGGTGTTATTTTATAGTGACTCTTTCCGCTAATGGGGTGGGGCCTCTGGAGAAAGCAAAGTGACTTTTGTGCGCTCTGTAACCTAAATGCAATCCTTCCAGCTTGATAAAAAGTGCATTGTAACATTGAAATACACTAAATATTATTGTATAGAAAAAGCAATTCACTTATAAACTTCCAATGTTTAGTTCATTTTCATTGAAAGGTAAAGCGATTTCCAATTCACATGTAAGCAATATCTTTTACAGAAAACTTACAAAACACTTCATTAAAAGGCACAGTACAGTTGGTTTTCTTATGTTGAACAGCTTCGCCACACTCGCAGGGCAACAAAGGCTTGCACAGCCAGAATGCTGTTTTCATTGCCATCACTCGAGTTTTTAATAATACTAGGTGTTATTGGAAAGTGGAGAACACAAGTCTTTTGTTGCAGACAGCGCAGCATGTTGGTAAATGATGACTAAAATGCAATGCTGCTCGAGTAAGACAGCTCTTTAGTGCGCTGCACAGATGTCGGGAATGAAAGCAGCTCACCCATGTGGGATCAGTAGTGGAGCAGGCACAATGAACAATTATGAAAATTGCATGCGTACAGTACAGCAAGCACCCCACCAGTGTGAGCTTTGTATGCGGCCTTTGTGCTCTGCATTATTGTTTCAAACTTTGTACTCGTCATAAGGAGCAAGCTTGGAGTTGGTGGTTAGTTGCCGTGGGGTAAGCAGGGCACCGGATGTATTCTGTGTGAGCACAAAAATGCCTTCTAAGTGCTGCTTTGCGAAATGTTTTGCAGTGGCGATTTAACCAATCTAGCGAACTAAAAGAAGCCCGAACGAGTTTTTCTTGATGGCCTGAATTTCAAAACAATTTCATGATAACAAGGAAATCTGAAAAATAGGATGTTGACTATATTTTCATTACTGCCAAGAATGCTACATTTGCATTCACTCAACACAGTCACTTAATGCTGCATCACATAGATGGAAATGTTTCAATGGTGTCAATGCATGTGGGAGTCATCGACTGAGAATTATTGGTGCTATACTGAAAATGCTCCATGTGGCATGGCCTATAAGCCATGCTTATCATTTCTTGAAACTTGGTTTATATAAATTTCTTTTGCAACATTGATCTTGCTACCCTTATACAACATGGGTTGTGGCACTTGTAAACCAGCAGTTAAAGCGGGTTATGCAGAAAAAAAAAAAGAAAGCAGATCACTGGTGTGCCCGACTTACTTCTCCAATGCCCAGCCAATCGGCCAGGTCTCTGGCATTTGCCAAGGCGGTAGAGAGTCCAATGATGCGAACCTTGCGGCTAGTGTAGGAACTGATGTAGTTGGCCCGCGACACTATCACTTCCAGCACAGGTCCTCGGCCCTCACCTGCCACCAGCATGAGAGAACATTGATAAAAACTAAGCCTGTGAGAACATTCGAATATTTGAATGAATATTAATGTATTCTAAATCACACGGATTCAAGTTTAAGTTAGTAGAAATTTCAAAGTATTCGAAATGAACGAATAGTAGTCAACCTGTAACTGCATTTAAAGGCTGATCCACTGCAGTAGAGGGATGCAATGCCATGAATACACCTTGCCAGAAAAAGTATGCATTGTTGCAAAGTCCACATTATGGTTAAAGGGCCACTCACCAGGCCCCATACCGAATTTTAGTTAGACAGTGGAAGTTGTTGGGGGTCCGATGAGGAACGTTCTGCCACAAAAATTTTTCAAATCGGTTCATTACGAGCGGAAAAAACGGGTTTTTTCAAGCGGCGCGAAATGAAGGTGAGAGAAGGTGAGCTCGAAACCTTCGCCGTTCCTCCGCGTAACCTTCGCAAGCCAAATATCTTCCCCACCCTCTCCAGCATCATCCGACCATAAGGCGACGTACGCATGAAAGTCCAACCCCCGAGCACGCAAGCAGCATTGCTTTGTTGACCAGCGTTATTTTGTGGTCTTCTGCCTGTTTCTGCGGGATGTTTCTGAAACGCTGGCTTGGACGTGGTAGAGTAGATGAACACAATGAGTGCGCGAACGCGTATGAGCGTTACATTGCGGTCGTCTGCTCATTGTGCTGACCACGAGGACCCGAACGCATGCGAAACGCTGGCTCATTAGCCCCGCATCTCGTAGCATTTCACGGGAAAAAAAAATGTAAGAAGAACACGCACAATTTTTATTGCGTCTCATTATTTATTTCAAGTTTTATTCATCTCTTGTCAGTGAGCGTCCGTGGCAAGTAGCCACTTGCGACTTATAGGGGCCGTACCCCAGGAGTAAGCAGGGGTTCATACATCTGATGGTAGTCGTCGATCATTTTTCCGAATGGGTGGAGTTGTTTCCGCTGCGGAAAGTGACAGCGCGAGCAGTGCTAGAGAGGCTACAGGAAGTGTTTTGTCGGTTTGGCTTTCCGAAAATATTGATCACGGACAACGCGTCGTATTTCACCGCTCGGGTGTTTGGTGATACAGGCCGTTCCCTAGGAATAGATTGCTGTGCCACTTCGCCCTACCATCCCCAGCCCAATTTGACGGAGCGAACCAATCGTACGCTCAAACCGATGTCGGCGGCCTTTGCCGAAAGTCAAAAGGATTGGGCAGGCCATTTGAGTGAACTCGCGTTTGCAATCCGAACCTCCGAGAGTCACTCCACTGTTTTCTCTCCTGCCTTCCTTAATTACGGAAGAGAGCTGGCAAATCCGGTGACCAGTGTCATGCAATGCCAGCTCGGGGATGAGGAAGAACCGGCAGACTGGTCTGCTTACACTTCAACACATCGGGACAGGCTTTGTCAAGCTCTCACTAGAGCGAGGCAGAGTTTGGCATCGGCCAGGGTCGAGCAAAAGGCCCAGTACGACCGAAAACATCGCCACCTTTCATTTAAGGTAGGTGACCTCATCCTGAAGCGCAACCATGCTCTTAACAACGTGAGCAAGGGTTTCTCAACTTCGCTCGCTCCAAAGTGGCTTGGTCCGTACCGAGTGGAGAAAGCTTGGACTTCACTCGCGTACTTGCTGAAAGATCCACTTTCGGGAAAACTTAGCCATGCCCAAATCGCAGACCCGAAAGCCTTTGCGTCGAGGTCTGACGAGTCTGCGCCAGCGCCCAGTGGCTCTTCGCGCAAGCAACGGCGCACACCCGGCACGGCAGACCGCATTCGGACCACGCACCGGTATAATCTGAGGAAGCGGTCACCTGAGTAATTTCGCGCCGGACGGCGGGCTTATTTCCGCAACTGAAGGCCCTCATTTTTATTGTCTAGTCTCAGTTAGCTAACTTTTTTACAGCCAGTGCTTGCAAAGAAGTCGTCTCCGCCCAGTTGCTGCTGCTGATATTCATTTGAGTGTTCTTGTTTACGTGATGTTTTTTTCTCGTGTTTTCTTTTTTCTCCTCCCTAGAGGAGGGGATCCTGAATTGGTGCTGTAGCGTGGCGAGAGGGACAAAGGACACTCTGTGCCTTCTTTTGGGGGGCTCGTTTGGAGAAACCCGACCATCGGAGGTGTGTGTGCGTGTGTACATGCTTGTGGCGACGACAACTTAGGAAATCACTGACCCCTACATCACCTTGGACTCTGGAGGTGTTCGGATACCTGCGGTCATTAGGCAGCCCATTTGTGCCCTGCTCCCGACCGTCGCTGATAAGCTCTGCTGGCCATTCTATTCACAGCTCCTGCACGTGGCCAGCTGTTGCAGACGCTGTGCACGACATGACCGATGCCAGGACGCCTCGCAGCCAGTAGATTTGGCGATGTTGATTTCAGCAGAAGGGCCGGCTGTCGCAACAGGGCCCATCGAACCTCCACCAAGGCGGTGTTCGTCGGACTCGTGAACCTGTCGTCAACATCGACGAGACGATGCTGACCCCGTTCCTCGCATAAGGGCCTCAACCAGAACTCTCGCCTTGCACTCTCGCACTTACCCAGTGACCCAAACCAAACATTACGGGACGCTTCCCCTCCGAGTCGTGGACGCTCTCTTGCGTGAGCACTATGAACTCCAGTTACCCCTCTTCTGCGGTGCCATTGTCTCAAGTGTATTGTTGTGTTGTTCTATTTTTTTTTTCTTCAGCGGCAGTTGCAGAGCGAGGCTGAAGCTAGCTGTTGCCCATTGAATGACGTCTTTGCATGCATGGGCGATGACCGGCTGCCTTTGCAGACCGGTATATAGAGTGAATTAAGGAGAGAAGGATGTGGAGATCTAAGGCGGGCCCGCGACCATTCCGCTGCACGGCCACACCCTTTTGCTTTTACTGCTCTGGTAACGGCGCGTGGCGATAGATGGCACCACGTGCGGGCACGGCACGGATTACGTGCGCCCCGAGAGACCGCTTTCTCCTCCGTGGTCGGCGCCGAGTAAGCACGTGTTTTCCTTCGTCCGCATCCCCTTTGGGAATCCCCGGACTGTAGCCTGCCTGGGGTGGCCTTTGGCACCTCGGCAGGCATGTTTACTTGAGTGCTAGCTTCGGTACCATACGCTAAGCCCACAGCGGTGCCTAGTGCTTGAAGTGGTCGTACCACACCGAGCCGCACTTGCCGTAGGCCCATGCGTACGAGGTTTGCCCTAACACTCGCGACCAGACCCAGTGGCCATCGTGAGAGTGCGCAGCATAGCCGCGAGGGACCTTTTCCCGACCGGCGTGTCAAAGCTCGCTATTGCCAGCTGCGATGCGTTCGCGTTTTCCCCTTATCGTGAACGTCCGCGTGCGGGTGCCTTTGCTCTCCGCGTCCCGGGAGCGGACGTTGTACTGTTGTTCGGGTGGCCGCCAAAGACAATAAAGCGTTGTGTATTTCTGTATTATAACACTGTCTGTTTTGCTGTGCCGCGCTAAACACCTTAGATGTGAGCGCGCGCGGAGCGGTGCGCAACACGCGAGTAGGTGACGGAGTCGCGGCCCTATGGCTCGCTGAGAGTGAACCCGCGGTGATCATCCGCTACGGTGAGTAGCGGGATCACCATAAGCAACAAATACATAAACTACGCATGTTGTGTTAAATAATTTTTGCCATGTCACGTGGTATACTGTTGACGTCAGAGCAGAGTCGTTTACGTAGAGGACCAACGTCCCCGCATTGCCGTGTACGTATGGCCATTCCTACGCCCACGTCATGCCCTCATTCTCTACGTGTTCGCCGCTAGAGGAGAGGGGAAGCAGCCTTCATCTTGAAATTTGACCCATTTCCGCGGCGCGTAGCATTGCAAATTTGGCAGACGTGATCGTGAACACCTCGTCTACGCATTGCGCTTGTTAGCTCAAAATTGTCAAACCTGGTGAGTGGCCCTTTAAGGTCTGTTGCTACCTGTTCGAAAATCTTTTCAGATCTTGATCCTAAACTGATTGCTTTATGTTCGCCTTGAGAAGGGCTCTGCAAAAAGACACTTCAAGTATTTTAGCCAAGAAAAGTGCTACAAATTGCAATTTAATTATTAAAATTACGCAAATTATACCAAAATCACGTGAACTGTACTAAGTACCGATGCTATGATACAAACCAAAAATGGCTTGACAGCAACGTACATAGCTGTACATTTAGGACATTCAGGTTGTGCAATAATATTTCATGGTCAAATTATATGGGTTCCGAAACTTGGAATGAAAAGTGTCAAAAACCTATTGCCACAGGCATGAACACTCGCCCACGATCGAACTATATCTTTTTCAAAATAGTCATAATTTTACAAATGTCAAAGTTAACTATTAATTTATCTTAGGCTTTACATGACACCTATATAAATGATTGATTGCCTCAATTTTTGGCTGAGTGCAGGGGTGCACAGCCGAAATAGAATTTGCAGCAACTTTTGGAGCAGCAGAATCTTACTTTTGGAGCACTAAAATACAAATTTGGAGTACGTCACGGGAAATAAAACATCTATTTTTCATCAAGAAAGACTAGATTTGGCACAAAGAAGGCTTACATTTACAAAAAAAGTAAAAAGTATGTTCAAGCCGTTCAACATCAGCTAAATCATGCAAAGCTAACATGAGCAGTGATGTCTCAATAAAACTACTGTTTAGATCTACCCCACTGAGGAAACAATGATAAAGTCCATATTAGCACTTGCTGCGTCTGTCAAATCCTTTGACAGAATTAGTGAATTAAAATGTGGGTCTGCCAAGTTGGCAACCTTGAAATTTAAGGGATTCGGGAAACTGAGGAGTAGGGGTGGCGAAAAAAAAAAAAAAAAAACTTGGGCAGTTTTTTTTTTTTTTTAAAGGGCAGCAAAAGTGTCATAAACTGCTCCAAATGATTGCCAGTAACTTTTTCAGACGTCAGCGATCATACTAGTGCTCCCAATTATGCGGTAGTATACAGACATGTGTAATTGAATGAAATTTGCTGTCCCGTGAGTAGTGCTAACAGCCCTTTCCAAATCATAAT